CATAATAAAGATTAAAGGTACATTAATATTCATTTGTCAATACAATAAAATTAATATTCAATATAATTATCATAAATTTATTCATACTTACAATGCATAAGGACTCCTCCAGCTGGATCTCCTTTATAATCAAATTCTATATCAACAAATTTTCCCTAAAATGATAATAAAAGCTTTTTATTAATTTAAATTAACCCTTAATTACTGTTATATTTACAAATCTCGATGCATTATCATTTTTCATTGTTTTAGCATTTCCAAAAGCTTCTAGAAGAGTATTGGCTTGAACAAGTTTATCTTTTACAACTTTTACTTCTGCTTTATTACTAGATACAAGTACAAGGAATTGTAGTACAATTCTTGCAGCTTCTGTCTTTCCCGAACCACTTTCTCCTGCAAAATTTATCTATTAACAAAAAAATCCAACTAAACATAAGTAAAACTGATGGTAAAATCTCAAATTTAAATAAGTTAACTAAATTATGTTCAATTTTCTTAAAGCCTTTAAACTGATGGAGAAACTTGTAAACTTATATTACTGCAGTAACAAGTAGTAAAAGTATTTTTTCTCACCTGTAACTATAATACACTGGTCTTCGTTTTTATCACACAACCATCTATAAGATGATCCAGCAACTGCATAACTGCAAAGATATTTTTATGTAATAGTGGCAGTAACTACTAACCAGTAACCATCAAACAAAAATTGATTATTGTAAATACTTACATATGAGGTGGTAATTGAAATGGGCCCCTTTTGACATAAGTTTCTGCTAAATCAGCAGAGTATAATGAAAGCTTCCTATAAGGATTAACAGAAACTAATACATTCCCTATGTAAGTATAAATATGGTCCTTTTTGAAGCGCTGATGTAAATTATTTATGAAATTCTCTTCTGTGAATGGCTCTAAAAGAACAGAATCCCATATTCCAGTCTCTTTAAGTGAGCAGAGCATTGCAGTGCCCTACTATTTCTTGCTGCAAGCGCAGCATTTAGTATAAGATATATCTCAAACCAAATCCGTTTCTAACCTACAACGAATGATGTTGACTAATAGATGCCTAAAAAAAAGTTAATCGTTTACCTATATAATACTTCAAACATTTAAGGTTAATAGCATAATTACAAGCTATAGGTAAGGTTTGTGAAGTAATATTTTTTAATAATTTTTACCATTTTTTAATTAACTTGACAGACATCAAAAATTTCAGTAAACCTAAAAACCAAAATTACCCATGCCATAGAAGTATAAATTCTGTATCTAAACTTCTATGAATAGTTCATAGAATCTAAACCATCTATAAATGTCACGGTGACAGGTGACAGCAACAACTTCTGTTTATGACATAACTATGGTTATAACCAATTCTTTTCTCAGTAAAAACCTTAAAATTCAGTTTCTATAAAAACATTAAAATGTTTTCCCATTACAAATAATCTTTAATAAATACACACATAATATGAACAAAATAATAAGAGATGTATTACTACCATGTAATTACTAATATAAAATAATTAAAAATTTTTTGTAATGCTGGGGAAAAAGCGAGTATAAATTCAAAAATTAAATAAAATGAATATTCACAGTGCGGCTGCTAACATTTTATGCCGAGGAGTCGAATTAGATGGAAAGAAACGATATACAGACGCCCTAATTTGTTATCAAGAAGGCATTAAATTACTTATTGACTCGCTGAAAGGTATGCAATTTATTATTTTAAATATAAATTTGGATTTATAATGCTTAATCACTATAAAATGTAATTAGTAAACCATATTTAAACCAGCACATGTCTTAATAAATTAAGTTGTTAATACATTATTTTCTTGTCTTTAGAAGAAACTGGTGAAAGGCGGATATGTTTGAAGTAAAATTGAGGAGTACATGAAAAGAGCAGAAATAATAAAAGAAACAATACAGAAGCTCAAAGAAAATGGTAGCTTTCATGAACAAATTACAATAGAACATAATTCTACAAACCACAGTTACGAAACCGTACTTGGTAGATTTCTTAATGATGAGGTAGAAACTGTTGATATTGAGGATCCTTATATAAGAACATTTCACCAATGTCAGAATTTATTAAGACTTTGTGAATTAATTATTAAAAAGTGCAAAAACATTAAATCAATTCATATGGTTACTACTAAAGACACCAATGGTGACCAACAAAAATGGTTAACTGATTTAAAAAGTAATTTAAAGACTTACAATACACAATTTAATTTTGAATTTTCAGAAACATTACATGATAGGCAAATAATGTAAGTACCAAACTTATTATAGAAAATGTATTTTCAAATTAGACCTTTTGTTTTTAGATTAAGTTCTGGTTGGATAATTAAAATAGGCAGAGGCTTAGACTACTTCAAAGCACCAGAAAATAAGTTTTGCTTAGGAGTTTATGATTTAGATTTTAGGCCGTGCTATGAAACAACCATTGATATATTCCATTCTAGCACACTGAAAAAGTAGTAGTAAATAAATTTTAAAAAATTAGGTAAACAGAAAACCGAGAAATCTATATTTTGTATGAAATTTTATAACAGTAAAGAACAAAATATTAATTTATTATGGGAATATTCCTGGGTCCCAATGAGTATGTAAATTTCTTTTTCTAATAAATTATAATTAAATTGTAATGTATTACTATTCATTTAATTTAATTAATGTTAAAGCTGGCTGAAGTGATAGAACTCTTAAGGAAACTTAAAGAGCCATACACCAAATTTACATTATACTAAAGGATATTGTTTCAAAATAAATTCCTAGAATTGTTAGGAATAATTAAAAAACAAAAATATATCAGTAAATTGTTATGTAATGAAATACATACATGTACAGTACAAAACTTAACGGTAAGACTTTTGGTAGCGGGCCCTGGCGCCTGGACCTCCAAATTTCTTTGGTTCACAACGACGTGGATCTGCTACCAATAAAGTCCTATCATATTGAATTAGGATA